CGGGAGACCCCAGCAGCGCGACGCCGGGGCCGGGCGGGGTCGGCCCGAGACGATGCTGGACCTGAGCGCCAAGCGGGTGGCCGAGAGCTGGGCTTTCGAGCAGGTGACGGACGCGCCGGGCGGGGACCCCACTGCCGGCCCCCGTGCGAGCCGGCCCAGACCCCACCACCGGGCCCCCGAGATGCCACCGCCCTCGCTTCGCCCTCAGCCTGCGACCCCTGCCCCAGCCCCAGGGCCCTCGCCACCCAGCCTCATCCCAGCAAGGGCACCCACTCTCACCTTCCGACTCCCCACCTCCTGCAAGCAGCCCTCACCCAGACACCCCGTCTCCCCAGGTCTGAGCCTCCGGACGCCCACAGTGCCCCGCCTTCTCCCCCCAGGCCTGTCCCGGTAGGCAGAGGGCTCACTGTCTCACCACATCCCAGCTTAGGACATCCCCTGTGCCTCCTGGCCCCCTTCCAGCCCCAACACGCACCTGTCCTTTGGGGACCCCTTCCTATCCCACCAGCCCCTCTCCCCCATCCTAGTCGTTCCAGAAGGGAGCTGGGAATCTGGGCGATATCTGACAGGTGCACCCCGAACCAGCCTGTAGGGCTGCTTCAGGGCGCTCTGCTATAGGGTCCCAGGGCTGGGGTCCTTCAAGCCCCCTTAGCCCAGCCGCAGAACGGCCAGGACCCCCAAGCCGGCGCGGCCCCCACAGGCTCACAGGCTGCCTGACTTCAGGGAGACTTCGGGGGGCTCCTGGGTTAGGACCGATGGGTTTGAGCCGCGGTGGATGGGACCGCCTCTGATTCACGGACTGGAAAATCCCTCCCTAGTCATCTGCCAACTGTCACCGGGCCAGTCACCAGCTGCCCCACTTCCCCCCAGAAACCTAGGCAGGAGGGGGCTCAGGAAGGCCTCCACCCTTCCTTGTGTGCGACTTGCAGAGGCCTGGCCTGGCTGGGCTGAGAGCTCGGAAAACTCGTGGGCTCTTCTCTAACCCCGGGGGAGTTGTGTGCCTGGCTTTGCAGAAACTGGGACACAGAGAGGTTGAGAAACTTGCTCAAGGTCACCAGCCAGTACAGCAAACTCAGACTGGAAGCAGGCTCAGTGGGGTTGTTTCAGTGGCAGTGCATGGAGCCCAGGGAGGCGGCCAGGACTCCCCAGGGGAGGGGCTCAGGGAGGACAGAGCACAGAGAGTCTGTCCTGGGGGTGGGAGCTCTCCAGCCCCAGGGTTCTGGACAAACAAATTTATCAGCTCTGAGCCTCACCTGCCGGGCTGTAAATCAGGGTAATGGTAGAGTATCAGGTTGTTAGGTTGGTATGAGAATTATGTGAAATCACATTCTTTTTTTCTTTTTTGTTGTTGTTTTGAGACAGGGTCTCACTATAGAGTTCAGGCTGGCTTTGAACTCACAGCAATCCTCCTGCCTCAGCCTCCCAAGTAGCTGGAAGCACACCCCACAGCTCCCGGCTCACTGATGGATATTGAATCCCTGGGAGACGGTTGACGTTCACATCCCCACCTCATAGTCGGGGAAACTGAGGTTCAGGAAAGGCCAAGCGACTTGCCTGAGGTCATACTGTGTGTAAACAGCACAGCCAGGACCCTAGCCTGGGTGTGACCCACTGACCCTCCGCAGGTCGAGGAGCGATTTTCCCGGGTGCCAGAGCCTGTGCAGAAGCGGATCATGTTCTGGTCATTTCCACGAAGTGAGAGGGAGATCTGCATGTACTCGTCGCTGGGGTACCAGTCCACAGAGGGCGAGCAGGATGCCCGGGTGCCCTTCACCCGAGGGCTGCACCTGCTGCAGAGCGGCGCCGTGGACCGCGTCCTCCAAGTGGGTGAGCGGCGCCTCTGCGTGGGGAGGCCTGGCTGGGCAGGAGCGTCCAGCGTGTGGGCTCTGAGGCCGGGGAAAGTGTGTCCAAGATACCGCTGTGGCTCTGTTGCTTGTTTTTTTCTGGTACTGGGAATTGAACCTAGAGTCTTGCACTGAGCTACATCCCCAGCCCTTTTTGATTTTTTAAATTTTGGGACAGGGCCTCACTACGTCCCTAACTGCTCAGGCTGGGTTCCAATTTGCTTGTTTTCTTTTGTTGAGTCAGTGTCTCACTGTGAATTTCAGGCTGGCCTAGAACTCACAATGTAGCCTAGGCTGCCTTCAAACTCGAGGTGATCCTCTTGCCTCAGCCTCCCAGCTGGGATGACAGGTGCCTGCTACCACACCAGCTCGTAGACCATCTTGCTGTACTAGCGTTAAGGTTCATCCTTGACCTCAGGCAATGGCTTAAATGGGGATGTGGAGGGAAGGCCGGTGAACCGGAAGGGAAGCAGGGAAGCCCCTGCACTGAGGCAGGGGGCTCAGGCAAGGGTTATGGCAGAAGTGAGGCTGATCTTGGATCCCAGCAGAGGACACAGAGGCCTTGGGGATGGAGCTTGAGGCACAGCACTGAGGGTCCCAGACCTCAGGCCGTGGGTCCTGCTGGGCTTGGGTGCAGGATCAGGAGCTGAGGCAAACAGTAGACTCCAGCACTGAGCTGCGAGCGAGCGAGGGAAGAATTGGGGAGAGATCAGGGGCAGGGTGACTGTACACCCGGGCAGCGGGGTGCAGCGGGGGGCTGAACACAAACTGTAGAGGCAGAGATGAGAACGAGTCTGAGACACCAGGCGGAGACTGGGATCTGAGAGGGGTTGGGATCAGGGTTTTAGGGTGACACACAGTGAGAGCGATGACTGCAGTTAATGAAGATCTGTCATGAATTTTATAAAGAACTAGGAAAGCCATGTGCATGGCACACGCCTGTCATCCCAGCACTCTGGGAGGCTGAAGCAGGAGGTTCACAAGTTGGAGCCCAGCCTGGGCAACTTACTAACTTAGTGAAACCACGGCTGCAGGCCGGGGCCCAGCCACTTACCTCCATGGGCCCTGGTGAACTCAGAGCCCCCGTGCCTGGCCGTGATCCAGCCCGCTGCAGGCCCCGGGCCACCATGGTATGAGGAAGCCATCTCTCCACAGGACGCGGGGTTGGGCCTGAGCTGCCCAACCAGTCAGATGAGCCTGGCAGTCACCTGCCTGCCCAGGGGCCAGGGAGGGGCAGGGGTGCAGGGTGATCTGCCCCTGTCTCCTGTCAGCCCGAAAGGTGAAATGTCACGGACCCCTTATCTTCCCAGGAAGTGCAGGGCTCCTGTCACCTTGGCTGTATCCATGGTAACCCGAGGGCTGAGAGAACCTATCTCCAACATCATAGAGCAGTAATACTTTGATCATCAGAGGAAAAACAAGGATTTTGTTCTGGACCTAAGCTTATGCCAGAATATCAAGCATCTGTCATATATTAACTCAAATCTTTTTCTCATACTGGAGGGGTTGAACCCAAGTCCTTCACACTTAGCTACATTCTCAGCCCTTTTTCTAACTTTTTACTTTGAAACAGTGTCTTGCTAAGTGGCCCAAACTTACGGCCCTCCTGCCTCAGCTTCCCACGGTGCTGGGAAAACAAGCGTGCACCACCATGCCTGGTTCATAATTTCATTTGTATTACAACTACATGAGAAGGATGTTGTCATGATTTCTGTTGGACAGGTGGGGAAACTGAGGCACAGACAGCTTCAGTGACCTGCGCTGGGTTCTTCAGCTGTGCTCTGCATCTGGGTCTCGCTGGGCGTGGTGGATAAGTGCTGCCTATCTCTAGGGTGACGGTCTGTCGCTGGTTGTAGGGTTCCATCTGAGCGGGAATGTGCGGGAGCCGGGCAGTCCCGGGGAGCCTGAGTACATCTACCACGTGTCCATCAGCTTTGACCGCTGCAAGATCACCTCTGTGAGCTGCGGCTGCGACAACCGGGACCTCTTCTACTGTGCCCACGTGGTGGCCCTGTCGCTGTACCGCATCCGCCACGCCCACCAGGTGGAGCTGAGGCTGCCCATCTCAGAGACGCTGTCCCAGATGAACCGCGACCAGCTGCAGAAGTTCGTGCAGTACCTCATCAGCGCCCACCACACTGAGGTGCTCCCCACCGCCCAGCGCCTGGCCGACGAGGTCCTGCTGCTCGACTCTGAGATTAACCTGGTGCATGGTAAGGGCAGCTGGGGCCACAGCCACCTCGCATCCTGTGTGCCAGGCACTTAACCGTGGCATCCTGTGTGCCCCAGATATGCATGCAGACCTTGCGGGGGGCACATCCTTTATGTACTCTGGCCCCGGGGCAGATGAGTGGTCAGAAATCAGGCAACAGGGCTGGGCACCATTGTGCACACCTCTAATCCCACCTACTTAGGAGGCTGAGGCAGGAAGATTCTCAAATTTGAGCCAAACCTGGGCAACTTAGTGAGACCTTCTGTCAAAATTTTAAGAAGTAATTTAAAAGTAAAAAAGGCTAGGCAGGGAGCTCAGTGGTACAGCACTTGACTAGCATGTGCAAAGCCCTGGGTTTGGTCCACAGTACCGGGCAAGGGTGGAGGGGTTGGGCCACAGGCAGAGGGCAGAGGCAGGAGTGGTGGCTGCGCCCGCATGTGGGCAGGTGGAAGGCAGGGCGGATGTCCTGAGTGAGGCATTCAGAGGCGCCGGTGAGGACTGGAGAGCTGGCGGTCCTGAGGAGCTAGAGTGGAGGGAGGATGGGGGGATGGAGGAGTGTGCATGGAGGCCCCCATGGACCACGGAGCGGGAGCTGGGTGGATGCAGAAGTTCACGGCCAGGCCCTGGGTGACTGATGCCGTGGAGGCGCAGGGGGCAGCGGCTGTGTGAGTGAGTAGGACGGCGGGGGGAGCTGCTGAGGACTGGAAGAGGGGAGGGGGCAGGGTGGGAGGACTTCGGGGGGCATTGAAGTGCACAGATGGGCGAGACCAGTGCAGTTGGGGAAAGGACGGAAGGGCCGGTGGACACACAGTGGGCATGAGTGAGTGAGTGGCGCCTTGAAGGCTCCCAGGAGCGGGGTGGGCTGGTGGAGGGACAGAGTGGACAGCCTCCTGGGGCGGTGTGCGTTTTGAGTAGTTAATCTACACGTATTGGAAAGGAAAACGGAAGAGCCGGTGGATGGGGCAACAGGACGCATGTGCGGACGTGTGGCTGGGTGGGAATGACGGGTAGTGGGGGTGGTGGGGGTGTACAGGGTACAAAGGCGCCAATGAGCAGATGGGGGAACGACAGAGACCCGCACGGTAGGGGTGGAGGCGCGTTCCGGCTGAGAGGGAAAGGGGCGAAGACAGCGGGGGTGCTCGGGTGGGGTGCGTCCCTCGGCGGATGGGCGTGTCGTCCTCCCGTAGGTGAACCCATGGGCGGCTGGTTAAATGGTAGCGCGAGGAGTGGACAGAGGAGCGGGTATTTGGGGCCTGCTGTGTGCATGGTGGTGGATAGACCAGAGAGTGGATAGATGAGAGCCTGGGGATTTAGCTCAGCGGCACAGCGCCTGCCTGGCTAGCGCAAGGTCGTGAGTTCAATTCCCGGTACTGGAAAAAAAAAAAAAAAAAAAAGATGGATGAGTGGATCGATGGGGTGGGCGAGTGGCTGTGTAAGCAGGCGGATGCGAGAACGGACTGAGGGAAGAATCTAAGAGGAACGGTGGGCGATGAAGGACATAATAAAAAGGAGATGATGGACGGGTGGGTAGGTGGGGGTAGGTGGGTAGAAGGATGGTTGGGGAGGACAATGGATGAGGTAGGGGATGGACAGATGGCTGGTCGGATGGATGGATGGATGGATGGATGGACGGAGGTGGGTGGACAAACGGATAGGTGGCTTTGTTTGCCGGGATAGATGGAACTGGGGGTGATGCCGAGTGCTGTCCTGAGCAGGCGCCTGCCCTTTCTACCTTGGCCCTTTCCTGGCCTAAGGTTCTCCCTTGTCATTTCCCAGGCGCCCCGGACCCCACAGCGGGCGCTAGCATCGAGGACGCCAACTGCTGGCACCTGGATGAGGAGCAGATCCAGGAGCAGGTGAAGCAGCTGCTGTCCAATGGCGGCTACTACGGAGCCAGCCAGCAGCTGCGCTCCATGTTCGGCAAGGTGCGGTGGGGGGCCGGGGGCGGCGCTCCCAGGCCTGGGCCACGCCCCCTTTTCACACCCTCCCCCGCCCCACTCCCCCATGCAGGTACGGGAGATGCTGCGCATGCGGGACTCAAACGGGGCTCGCATGCTCATCCTCATGACCCAGCAGTTCCTGCAGGACCCGCGCCTGGCGCTGTGGAGGCAGCAGGGCGCAGGCATGACCGACAAGTGCCGGCAGCTGTGGGACGAGCTGGGTAAGGCTTGTCCCTGGGGGACGCAGGGCTCCAGCCCAGTCCTGCCCCACCCCTGCTGTGGGGATCCGTCCCCTGAATCCAGCGTCCATCACGAGGACGCTTTTGAGCTCCCGCCACATGGGTGACAAGGTCCTGCCCCATGGCGCCATGGATGGTAGAGAAGATACATGGCAAAATACTATCCGTTGGTCAAGGCATAGTGACAACATGCCTGTCATTCCAGCGCTGGAGAGGCTGAGGCAGGAGGATCGCCAGGAGTTCCAGCCTGGGCTACATAGTAAGTTTAGGGCCACCCTACAATGCATAGTGAGGTGTTGTCCCAAGAAAACAAACAAAAAATACTCTCTTTTCTCAGTTTCCATGGCAAATTGAAGCCAAGATCCCACACACACTCAGGAACAGGAAGGTGTGAATGCCCAAGTTCCTTGGCATATATGAATATAAAATACATGATATTCACACAGAACCCTCACACATTCTTTTCCTGGTCCTGGAGATGGAACCCAGGGGTGCTCCATCACTGAGCTATATCCCCCCCACAACCAGCTATTTTAATTCTTCGTTTGGGGATAAGGTCTCGTTAAATATCCCAGGCTAGGTTCCAACTTGGAATCTTCCTGCCTCAGCCTCTCCAGTCACTGGGATTACAGGTGAATGCCACCCTCCCTGGTTTCCTTTTTGTTTTTTTTACACTTTGTTTTAGTTTTGATTATTTGTGCTAGGTTTTCATATACATCATTTATTTTTGTGGTGGTGGGGATGGAACACACAACCTTTGCACTCACTTTTTCATTTAATTATTTATTTTATTTTGCTAAATTGTCGAAGCTGGGCTCAAACTTGGCAGTCCTCCTGCCTCAGCCTCCCAAGTGCTGGGATGGCAGACATGCATCACCACGCATGCCCAGCTGAATCTTAACATAACAGCAGAAGGAGCTTATTAGACATACTGTTTTTTCTTTGCCCCTTGTATCCAGTGAAGAGTGTATTAGTTGCAGCCTTAGAGGGGCCAGATTAGGATCCAGCAATGCAGTGGCACATACAGGAGGCTGTGCAATGTGTGCTGCTGCCACTGGCCCCATCCTGACCGCCCCTGTGCTTCCAGGGGCCCTGTGGGTCTGCGTCATTCTGAGCCCCCACTGTAAAGCAGAGGAGCGGGCAGGCTGGCTCCAGCTGCTGGGCACATGGGACAAGCTGGATGTATGCCCACTGGAAGAGGGCAACTACTCCCTGGATGGCCCCAGCCTGCAGGCCATGGCAGCCCCTGGTCCAGGTAAGACAGGCCCTGCTACCTCTTCCCAACAAAACCATCCCCACTCACTGTGTCTCAACTTGGCCATCATGGCAGTCTGTCCCTAGAGCAAAGGAGTGGAGGAGAAAAAAAAGGGCCCAGCCACTGGTGGTCCTCCCAACCAAAAGGGAGTAAGTGGTGATGGCAGGAGCAGCAGCAGCCTGAAGGACAATGAGGTGCATTTATTAGAAGGCTGCTCTTTTGGCCCAGCTTCCTCTTGGCTGTAAAGGCAGAAAGGATAGAGAGAGTAAAGGACAGAGTCAAACAGTGGGTATGTGAAATAATGAACAGGAACAGGTGAAGAGATGGTGAGAGGGAAAGGCAAGAGACTGACAAGAAAGTAGAGGGATAAAGACAGATACGCGGCTACTCACCTGTTTTTCTCCTGTGTATGGAGTGGGGCGCTGCCAGCACCCACCTGCGTCTCTGAGGACTGAGAGGTGAACAGCGCCCACGGCTCTGCCAGGCTCTAACCCAAGTTGGAGCCGGGGAGGGGATGCTGGCCACAGCTGGGCGCCCACCCTAGACCACCTTGGGCACCTCTCCTACAGGCCCCCAGCAAGGAGAGGCAGAGGTGACGGCCACCCATCACACGGTGTTTGGGCGTGCCCTGCAGGCTGGGGCGCTACACTGGAAGAACGCCCACCTCCAGAGGATCCTGGCCAGCGACGCCCCCAGCCCCAGCCTCACAGGCAGCACCGGGGGTGACAAGCCGGACTTTGACCCTCAGGGCCGCCCACTCTGGCTGGGCGAGTCCTTCCCCACCGCCTGTGCCCGGGTGGACACCCTGCGTGCCCACGGGTACCCCCACAAGGCACTGCGGCTGGCAGGCGCCATCATCAACACCGTGCGGCTACAGCAGCGGCACCAGCTGGAGATCTACAAGCAGCAGCAGAAAGGTGGGCAGTGATCCTCTGTGAATGTCCCTGGGGCTCAGGGGCGGGGATAGATGGAGGCTTCCACCAAGAAAACAGCCACCCAGGTGTCTCTCAGAGAAAGGAATTTAATACGGGGATTGAGAATTCTTAGACCCATTGGAAGGACTGAGGCTTCAGGTCCAAGCACCAAGGGACTGAGCAGAGCACAGTGATACGTGCCTCTGATCTGATTCCAAGCACAAGGCCCATCTGGGCAGTATAGTGAGACCTAATCTTAAAAAGGGGGCTTATGGGTATGGTGGTACACACCTGTCGTCCCAGCACTGTGGGAGGCTCAGGCAGGAGGATCACAGGTTCAAACCCAGCCTGGGCAACTCAGTGACAGTGAGGCCATGTCTCAAAAATTTTTAAAAAGGCTATGGATGTGTGAGGGTGTAGTTCAATGCCAAGGCTCTGGGTTCAGTCCTAGTACTAAAAACATTTTTATATATGGTTGTAACTTAGTGGTAGAACCCTTGGCTAGAATGCTCTGGGTTCTGACCCCAGCACTGCAAAACAGACCAAACAAAAACCACTCTAAGGCACCAGGATTGTATCACATGGCTAACAGCACCAAACCGCAGGCGAGGAGGTCTCCCAGTACCAGCAGGACGCCAGAATTTGCTGACCAAACCTCATGTCTGCACCCTGCACCCTCTGGAGTCTGGGAAATGCAGTTTCTGAGCCTCTAGTCCCTGTGGTAGAAGAAATACCAGCCATGGGCCCCTCCAGAGTGTGGACCCAGGGGATGACCAACTTCACAGGGTTTTTTTCAAGAGCAGTCAGAAGCCCATTGATGTGGAATCCAGTAATTGGTAGTTAACCAGGGGCACGGAGGGTGCCCCTGGAGAAGGGGCAGGAGGAAGGGTGTTCCAAGTGCAGGGAGCAGCACGGTCAGGAGCCCCGAAGGAGAGGGTGCTTGGCTAGCCGTGGGTTCCAGACAGCAGGTGAGCACTCTGCTGAGAGACCCCCGGACCGGTCCTTGGAGACCCTGCAAGCTGTCTGGGCTGCAGGTCAGCCAGCAGGCAGTCCTGGGGCTAGAGGAGGAGCCGGCACTAGGGCTGTGCCTGTGGGAAGCTCCCGGTGTCCTTCCCGTGTCCTGCCGGGCCTGGTCCAGCAGTACGGCCTCCGAGCGGGCTGCTGATGGCCCCCGGGATCAGGAAGAGAGATGCACCCCCGTGTGCAGGGGGGAAGAACTTAGCTCCCCTTTCACCTCCAGAGCTGCTACAGAAAGGTGTCACGTGCATCAGCAACACAGAAGGCTGGGTGGGCCACCCCCTGGACCCCGTCGGCTGCCTCTGCAGGGCGCTCCTAGAGGCCTGTCGCCTGCGGGAGGAGACTGTCTCGCTGTACCCAGGTACACTGCCCACCCTGGGAGCCCTGGAGGAGGAGGGCTGGGCCCGCTGTGTCGCCCCGCCCCGCCCCAGGGCTCAGAACACCCTGAGCCAGTGCGCCTGGGCGGCCTCGCGCTCTGGGACAGGAGCCCGTAGACTAAGTGTCTCCTGAAAGTGAGGCCACCCTAGGCTCAGCTGCTGCTGGGGGAGCCCCGTGCTCCAAGATCTGGGGTGTCCACAGCCACCACTCTGCTCCTCCGGCCGTGCCTGGGGCCGAGAGGGAGGAGGGTGGCAGCCGTCAGTAGCCCCGGTCCTGTGTGCCCCAGACTCGAGCACCGAGAAGCGGAAGGCAGTCTACCAGCACGTACCGGTGCCCGGGAACCCTGGGGAGTCCTACCTGGCGCTGGCGCTAGAGGTCACACTGCTGGGGCTGGGGCAGCAGCGGGCCTTGCCCGAGGGACTCTACGCCCAGGACAAGGTGGTGCGAAACGAGGAGCAGCTGCTGACCCTGCTGGAGGAGGTGGACTTGGATGACCGGCTGGTACAGGTGCTGCGCAAGCAGGTGGGGCTGCTGCTGGAAGGTGAGTCCCCGCCTGTAGTTTACTGTTTTGCCTGAGAGAATGCCATCTCTTAGTCCCGCCCCGTGCATGTGCTAGCAGCCAATAACTGCTGTGGATGGTGAGCCTCCTACCCTTTCTCCCCCAAACTCCGCCTTCTTGGCCTTAAAGTGCACTCAGATCGTTCTTAGTCCCGCCCCCAGGACGCGCTGCCAGCCAATAACTACTCTGAATGGTGAGGGCCCGCACTTTGCCGTGTTTGTAGCCAATGGGCTAGTCGCTTCTGGATGAGGAGGCCGCAATACAGGCACCGCCCCGTGCCTTGCTGGCCCCGCCCACAGTCAGCCTATTGGCTTGTTTGTTGTGAGTTTCCGCCCCCATTGCGGCGGGAGTTATTTTGCGCTGCCCTCTCTAGTCCTGCTGGTGGGACCCTGCTGGTCTTCGGCGGTACAGCCCACGCTGCATCTAAGCCCCGCCGCACCTCAGGGTGCCAGGGCACTCCTCTGGATTATCCAGCGCTGGGAGTTGTTCCTTCCCGTGCAGCCCGTACCTGGGGCCTGCGGTCTGGGGGAGATGGCTTCAGTCCCAGGTGCTGAGCGCAGACTGTGCCTGCAGGGGGTCCCTTCAGCGGCTTCGGGGAGGTGCTGTTCCGGGAGAGCGTGCCCATGCACACCTGTGCCCGCTACCTGTTCAGTGCGCTGCTGCCCCACGACCCCGACCTGGCCTACCGCCTCGCGCTCCGGGCCATGAGGTGAGGATGGGAACAGCGGCCGGGACACAGCGCGGGCCGGGTGGCAGCAGGGTGGGCCAGGCCTCCCTCCACGGAACTTACAGCCTGGCTCCCTACTGCAGCTGCCTGCCCTTGGCATCCGTGTCCTGGGCTCCTCCTTACCAACAGAAGCGTGTAATGTGATTCCGGACTTGGGAAACATCCCTTGGCAGAGAATTCACAAGGGGCATAAAGCTCGGTCTTTTAAGGCAGGTTTAGCTCGCCCCACGCAGGTCGCTATGGAAACAAGCGAGATTTACCTTTCCCTGCAGGAGTGTAGATTGCTGCGAACTTTTCTGGACGTTTGCAGGTGGGTCTCAGGGCTGGGGTGGAGCTCAGTGGCGAGTGCTTGCCTAGCGTGCTGGAGGGCCTGGATTCCAGCCTCAGCACACAGGAAAAAGAAACATGATCGTTAAGTTTTTATGGACCCAGCACACTCCCTATGCCAGTTTTTACATTTCTGAATGACCGAAAGAATCAAAAGACTGCTTTTGACGTGTGAAGAACATGGGAAGCTCACATTTCAGTGCCCAGAAATGAAGCTGTGTTGGCACCCAGCCGCACACGGTCATCTGGGTTTGTGTGTGGCTGCTCCGTGCAGCAGTGCAGAATTGCGTCATTGTGACACAGACCAAATAGCCTGGAGGCCAGAACTGGTGGCTGTCCAGTCTTCCGCAGAGAAAACATCTGACCCCTGAGGAGTCTGTAGAATTGTCGAAGCAGCTGAGCCAGAGTGTGCTTGTTTACACATAACTGGCTCAAAGTGTCTTCCAAGGTCATGCAGGGAGGAAATACAGGGGATGTCTGGAAGCGAGGCGGTCTTCACCCCTGTTCTGTGCTATCAGTTACATCTAGCGACTTCAAAAACTTTTCTGGACACAAAACTGCATGTACTGTCACCAACATCCATAGGTTCAATCAAGTTATGATCAAAAATATTTGAAGGCCAAGCATGGGCGACACACACATGTGAGGCTGAAGCAGGAGAAGTGCAGGTTTCAGCCCAGCCTGGGCAACACAGTGACTTAGCAGGACCCTGTCTTAAAATTCAAAAGGACTTGGGGTGTAGCTTAGTGGTAGAAAGACCCTACTACCTTCCATCGCTAATTTCAGATAAAAGACAATTGTGTATGTATTGAAGGTTACAGACATATTTCTTTCTCAAATTTCTTAATAGAGTTTAACAACCGTTTCCATTTCATGTGCATTCAGTCAGGTATTCTAAAGTTGAGAGATGCACTCAGGAGGCCAAGGCAGGAGGATTGCTGCGAGTTCAAGACCAGCTTGGGCTACAAAGTGAGCTCAAGGCCAGCCTGAACTGCAGAGCAGGACCCTGTCTCAAAAAAAAAGGGGGACTGGGGCTTTAGCTCAGCGACACAGCGCTTGCCTGGCAAGCAGAAGGTCATGAGTTTGATTCCAGGTACCAGAAAAAAAAAAAAAAAAAAAAAAGTTGAGAGATGATCACAAGCCTGTGGAAGGATGTGTGTAGGTTTTATGCAAATACTACCCATTTTGGGGTTTTGTTTGTTGGTGTGTTTTCTTGAGGCAGGGTCTTACTATGTAATTCAAGCTGTTCTTCAACTATGTAGCCCAGGCTGGCCTTGAACTTGTGGCAGTCCTCCTGCGTCAGCCTCTTGAGTGCTAAAATGACAGGTGTGCACCTGGCACCACACCATTTATATGAGAAACTGACAGATTTTGGAATCGGGGAGGGTCCTGGAACCAGCCCCCCGCAGATGCTAAGAGGTAACTACACAGTGAGCTGGCTGATAGTGTACAGGGGCTGTTGAGTCATTCAAGAAACATTTGTTCATCTGTAATGCACCAGGCATCATCCTGGCCGCTGTAAGTGCCCTAGTAGAGCTGACATTCTAGGTAACACCAGACAGTGAATGAATGAACAGGTAAACTGTCGCCTGTGAGGAATCTGCAGGCAGCGGGAGCCGCGGTGCAGGGGCCCTGCAGCGGGGCTGCGCCTGGTGTTCGCAGGACATTGGAGAGAACGGGTGGGGAAAGGCTGTCGGGGGATTGATGAGCCTAGGAGGGGCTGGGCCAGGACAGAAGCATGCCCTCCACTCTTCACCAGCCACCACCCACAGCCCCTGTCCCCTCTCCCCCTGCCCTGCCCAGCCTCTGGTAACCACCATTCCCTCTTTTGCAAGATCCACTTTTTTCTTTTCGAGATAGGATCTCACTGAGTTGCCCAGGCTGGGTTTGAACTTGCAGTCCTCCTGCCTCAGCCTGCCCCAGTGCTGGGATTACAGGCATGCATCACCACACCCAGCTAAGATCAAATTTTTTGGCTTCTATATGAATGAGAACATGTGGTATCTATGTTTTGTGCCTGGCTTATTTTACTTAATGATGTCCTCCCAGTCCATTCACATAACTACAAGTGGCTGGATTGCTTTTTCATGGCTGAGTAGTAGTCCATTCCATCCCAGTAGATTCCATGTCTTAGCTGTCAGGAATGGTTCTGCAGTAAATACTAGCATGCAGGTGCTTATTGCTGTACTGATTTCCTTTGCTTTGCCTGTTTATCCAGCAGTGGGATTGCTAGAGTATATGGCAGTTCTATTTTTAGGGGTTTATTCCCCTTATGTACTGGCGATTGAGCCCAGAACCTTTGCACTGAGCTCCAGCTCCAGCTCCAGCCTTCTGTTGTTTTTATTTTGAGACAGGATCTGGATAAATCGCCCAGGCTGGACTGGAGCGTCTGACCCTCCTGCCTGTCTCTCCCAGAAGGCAGGGATTACTAGATGTGCACCACTACACCCAGCTATTTTTGGTTTTTCAAGTCACCTCTGTGCCACTTTCCGCAGTTGCTATTTTAATTTGCTAACAGTGAGTAAGGTCCCCCTTTTCTCCATATCCTCCCCAGCATTCTCAGGTTTTCTTTTTTGTTCTGGCCACATTGGAGATAGCACCCAGAGCCTCACACACATTAGGCAAGTGCTATCACTGAGCTACAACACCCCGGTGCTTTTTACTTTATGTTGAGACAGGGTCTTGCTATGCTGTCCAGCGTGGCCTCAAACCTGGCGATCCTGCCGCGTCACCCTCTCGAGTAGCTGGGATGACAGCCTCGCGCCGGGCCACACAGGATGGCAACCGTCCAACCCCACTCTTTCTGAGAAAGGAACCGCACAGGGAAGGCTGCATGCGCAGCCCCGGGAGGCTGAGGCAGGAGAATCCTCCCTAGCGGGGAGGCTGGGCGGGGTCTGCCCTCCACATGGCTGGCTTCTGCCGTCACCAGGCTGCCCGTCCTGGAGACCTCGCATCCAGCTGGAGACCTTCACCCCCACCCGCTGGACTCCATTGTGAGCAACCGCTTTCCCCGCTGGTTCATCCTGGGCCACCTGGAGACGCGTCAGTGCGAGCTGGCGTCGACCCTGCTGACGGCCGCCAAGGGTGAGGACGGCGCCTCCCTGTCCCCGGCGCTGTGTCTTTTCCTATGCCTCCTCCCCCGACTACCTTCGGCCTTCCAGAGGCCCTGGGCATCCTCTAGTGTGCCCGGCGCTGTCCCAGGTGCTGGTAGTGTGGGTCCCTGACCCCCTGTTCTGTGGGAGGACACCCCTTTCAGAGGAGAGGGACCCTTCAGCTTTCAGGGGGTGCTGGCCATGGAACCCAGGGCCCCACACGTTACACAAGCAAGTGGACTTTCAAGCAAGGGCCTGAAGGTGAAGCAAGCAGTGGTAGTGTACATCTGGGAGGCTGAGGCAGGAGGATTGAAAGTTCAAGCTCAACCTGGGCGCCTTAGCAAATTAAAAAAACCCTGTTTCAAAGTAAAAAATGGCTGGGGATGTAGCTCAGTGCAGAGGCCCAAGATCCAATCCCCAGTACCAGAACCTTAATTAATTAATTAATTAATACATAAAAAGACCCGTAGGTGAGGGCAGAGCTATGCAGATATCAGATGTCTTGGTCAGCTCAGGCCCTCATGCCAAAATACAGTAGGATAGGCAACGTCAACAATAGAAATTTGTTTCTGTTCGGTTTTTGAGACAGGGTCTCGCTGTGTAGTCGAGGTTGGCCTCAAGCTCACTGTGTCTCCTAGGCTGGCCTTGAACTGGCCTGTGATCCTCCTGTCTCAGCCTCCTGAGCACCGGGATGACTGGCGTGTCCAAGATCAGATTGCCCTCAGGGTTGGGTCCTGGTGAGGATGTCACCTTCTCTTCCTGTCCTCAGGATGGAGCGGGGGAGTGCTGGGAGGTGGAGGAAGCTCGTGTCTGTTCTCCTAGGGTGCTAGTCCGCTCCGAAGGGCCCCGCCCACGGAACCTCTTCTACCCCTATTTCTCTGCACAGGCCCAACAGACACCTCACGTTGGAGATTTTCAGCACAGGGTTGGGGGTCGGGGGACACACAGCTCAGCCTGTGGCGTCTGAAGAGTTTCCCAGGCAGAGGGAGCCACTGGTGCGGGGCCCTGGGCCTGATCATCTGCTGTGCTTGGGGAGCGAGGGGCAGCGGGCGGGGCCGGAGCACGGAGAAGGGGAGATGCAGGGTCCGGGCCACTGTTAATAATGGCAACGAAACCCAGGTTTTAGCCTGGCGGTGTGGCTCGGGGCACAGCGTGTGGTTTGAGGGATTTGGGGGGTTTTTGGTTTGTTTTTATTTTTTTGTTTTCTTGTGTCAGTGAAGCCTTCACCCTGAGCTCTGTCTCAGCCATTTTTATTTTTCATTTTGAGGCTGAGCCTCACTAAGTCGCTGAATTGCCCAGGCTGGGTTTGAACTTGTTGATCTTCCTGCCTCAGCCTCCCAGAGTGCTGGGAATACGTATGTGCACCATGCCTGGCATAGATCGCAGGGGTAACATGTGAAAGGCCTTGAGTTTGATCCACTGCCCCAGATTAAAAAAAAAAAAAAAAAAGCCAATATTTGCATAGCGCCTTGCTGTGTTCCGGCCCATCCAAGTTTGCTCGTCCCCGGTAAACAGGCACAACTGCCTCAGTCTTGCCCGGTTTATGGGTACGGCAGCCAAGGCACAGAGAGGTACAGTGAATTGCTAGGAGTCACACAGCCAGCGAGTGTCGGGACAGGGTTTGAACTCGTCATTCCAGGTTCAGAAAGGTTTTCCTTGACAGCTGGGGGCCCTGGGTGGCTTCCTTCTGCTGGGGCAGAGGTGCGGACAGATCAGACAGCGCAGGTGGGCAGGGGCTGGTCCTCCTACACTCAAGCGCTCCCCTGGCAGGGGAGCCGGGGACCCAACCGTGCCCTCCACTGCAGGAGACCCCAAGTGGCTGCACGCAGTCCTGGCTTCCATCCAGCAGAACATCCACTCCCCAGCTCTACTCTTCAAGCTGGCACAGGACGCCTGCAAGACGGCCACCCCGGCCAGCGCGCCCCCAGACACCACGCTGCTGGGCATTGCGCTGGAGCTGGGCCTGCAGGTGAGTGGGGCGGGGCCTGTTTGTAGCCCCGCCTATGGGGAGGGCCCAGCGGGACCTTAGGCACGGTGAGAAAAGGTTCTCCTTCCCCTGGCATCCACAGGGTCCTGAGTTCACTCCCTAGCACACAAGAAACAAGAAGTGGAACAAGCCAGGTAGTGCACCCCTGTCATCCTACCTACACAGGAGGCTGAGACAGAAGGATCCCGCTCTCTAGGCTAGCCTAGGGAGCTGGCCTGGGGGTGTGGCTCGACTCTTGCCTAGCATGCCTATGGCCTTGGGTTTCCCCCCTAGCACAGGGGTAGGGAAGAGCCTGGGCCTGGGCCATGTGCTGTTGGTTCGGGGCTGTTGGTGGGTGGAATTTAAGGTGAGGGTGTGGGGCAGAGCCTACCAATAAAGCACTCCCTTGGGGATGTGGCCTGAAGGGAGGCGGGGTGAAGGGAGGGTTGCAGTGCTGAGGGGCAAGGCCTTGGGGCCCGAGGTCCTTGGCAAAGCACCACTAGGTTAGAGCTCCAGCACCACAAAAAAAGAAAAAAAGAAGAAAGAAAGAAAAAGCAACGCTTTACCCACGTTGTGCTGTGTAATCCTAATAGTACTCCCAAAATGTAAATACTTTTTATTTCTGTGAGGCTGGCATGGAACTCCACACCTCATGTATGCTAGGCAAGCGCTCTACTACTGAGCTACACCCTGGCATAGGTACTTTTCCTTTTTGTAGGAAGGGTGGATCTGAGGGGACCCCATCCCCTTTATTTGAATTTTTTTTTTTTTTTTTTTTGATAGACAAGATCTTACTAAGTTGCCCAGGGCAGTTTGTGATCCTCCTGCCTCAGCCTCCCAAGTAGCGGGGATCACAGGAATGCACTAGGCTGCCCAGTCGCAGGATACCGGGGAGGAGACAGGGCCAGAGAGGTGAGGCTGCGTGCCCAGGTTTGTCGGGTCAGCTCGCTGTTCCACCACACACGCTCGTTTTTGGTACCAGGAATCGAACTCAGGACTTGGTGCTTGCCAGGCCGGAGCTGTGCCGCTGAGCTATGTCCTCGGCCCTTGTCACCCCACACTCTTGAGACCCCTTCTCTTGTCTTGCCCCGTAGGTCATGCGGATGACCCTGAACACCATGACTTGGCGCCGGAGGGAGATGGTACGCTGGCTGGTCAGCTGTGCCACAGAGATGGGTGAGAGACCCAAGGGGCACGCAGCCGGTCCCTCTGCTATGGCTGTGGAGGTCCCACCCAGGGGAGAAGCAGAGGCCCCTGACGCAGCCTCTACTCAGGGCCAGGCAGGGAGGAGCGGTCAGGCAGGGGTTACCGAGACAGGCCGGCCAGGCTATAGCAGCTTGGGAAAAAGAAAGGGGCCCCATACCCAGTCCTGCTGCTCCCTGCTTCTTTGAAAAGGCTAAAAAAAAAAAAGTTTCTTAGCCAGGTGTGGTATTATATCTGGTAGGCTGAGGAAGGAGGATCCCAAGTTCAAGCATAAGCTGGGCGTGGTGACACATTCCTGTAATCCCACCACTGGGGAGGCTGAGGCAGGAGGATTGTTGCAAGTTCAAGACCAGCCTGGGCTACAGTGTGAGCTTGAGGCCAGCCTGAACTGCATAGCGGGACCCTGTCTCAAAAAGACAAACAATAAACAAACCAACTGAGTTCAAGCACAGCTTGGGTAACTTAGCAAGAAATTCTCTCAAAATTAAAAAAAAAAAAAAAAAAGAAAGAAAGCAGGGAGCTGGGGATGTAGCTCATTTTGAAGCCCTTGGCTTCAATCCCCAATACTCCCCAAAGAATTTTTGGAGACAGTATTTGCAGAGCCCTGGCTGTGGTGGGGTGTGGGGGACACGTGGTGTCTCTGTGGACCCTGCCTTCTCCTCTGAGTCCTCCCCGCCTACCCCCCCAGGCCCCCAGGCACTGATGAACATCATGCAGAACTGGTACTCCCTGTTCACACCGGTAGAGGCGGCCACCATTGTGGCGGTGACGGGCACCACGCATACCACGCTGCTGCGGCTGCAGCTGGACACGCTGCGGCGGGAGGAGCTCTGGACCTGCGCCCGCACGCTGGCCCTGCAGTGCGCCATGAAAGACCCTCAGAACTGTGCCCTGCCCGCCCTGACCCTGTGTGAGAAGAACCACGCGGCCTTCGAGGCCGCCTACCAGATCGTGCTGGACGCGGCGGCCGGCGGCCTGGGCCACGCGCACCTCTTCACGGTGGCCCGCTACATGGAGCACCGCGGGCTGCCGCTGCGAGCCTACAAGCTGGCCACGCTGGCCCTGGCCCAGCTCAGCATCGCCTCCAACCAGGACAGCCACCCCGCCGTCAACGACGTGCTGTGGGCGTGCTCCCTCAGCCTCTCGCTGGGCCGCCGCGAGCTCTCGGGCATCGTGCCCCTCCTCATCCGCAGCATCCACTGCGCCCCGATGCTGTCCGACATCCTGCGCCGCTGGACCCTCTCGGCGCCAGGCCTTGGCCCTCTGGGGCCCCGGCGGGCCGCCAAGCCGCTGGGCACCGACCGGGCGCCCCTGTGCCAGCTGTTGGACGCCGCGGTCGCCGCCTACATCACCACCAGCCACTCGCGCCTCACGCACATCAGCCCGCGACACTACGGCGATTTCATCGAGTTCCTGGGCAAGGCCCGCGAGACCTTCCTGCTGGCGCCAGACGGGCACCTGCAGTTTGCCCAGTTCTTGGAGAACATCAAACAGACCTACAAGGGCAAGAAGAAGCTGATGCTGTTGGTGCGGGAGCGTTTCGGCTGAGATGGCAGCGGGGGCCAGGGACGCGGGGCGCAGGGGTCCCCAGTCCCCGCCTCCCCGTCCCCTGCAGCGCGGCGCTGTGGGCCGCGTCAGTATTCAGTCAGGGAAGGGGGCGGGAGGTGTGCGCCTGGGAGTGTGCGAACAAGTGTGCGAGACACAGGAGCAGAAGCCATACCGCCAGCCAGACGCCCGGAAGAGGCGTGTGCTTGGGCAGGCAGGCTGTAAGAGCCCCAGCTTGGCCTTGGGCACCCCAGAAGCAGTAGGCAAGCACCCCTGCCCCTGCCGGGCTCCAGAAGAGGAGCCGTACAGAACCCGGTCCGGGGTGACCTAGCACAGGCTCCTGGCCCCCACCTGCATGGCCAGGGGGTTTATACAAGGGCAGCTGGACTCCCCGCTGTGCCCCACTGCTCAGGGGCCCCCATTCCACTGCCCGGGACCCTCTCCCAGGCTGCCCCACCCCCACGAAGGAGCTCCCAAGGTCTCAGGCCTCAGCCACATACCTCACACTCAGCCCCTTGTCCAGCCGCAACCCCTCGGGCACCAGGATCCCTGGGGAGGCTGGGTCTGGGGTCATCACTCCCCCCACCTGCTAGGCACTGGACAGATGACTCAGGAACCAGGCAGTGCCCCTGCTGCTCACCAAGCATGTGTCAGGATTGGGCACCAGAGAGCCAGGGGACCCCATGTGGAGAGGAGGGGGAGGGGCTCCAAGTCCTCTGCCTCCAGCTGTCACTGTCCCCCCGTCCCTGGCTCTACCCCCTCACTGTACTGTTTCCTATTTCTCTCCAGTCAGCCTCCCTTCCATGTTCGTGTAAGTCCCAGCCAGGCTCTCTGGCCGCCTTGCCCTGTCCCCACTCGCCCCTCTTGCCTTTCTCTTGTATAAGGACAAAGATGGCGTCATTTTGTAACTTTTTTTCTATTTATTGAACCCTATATTGTATTTCCTTTTTTGTTGTTTTTTTAAAAGTTGAAACAGCTTTTTAATTTTATTTTGGGACTGAGGTGGGTCCCCTCCTACCCCGGGGCCAGAGCCTCCCCCTGTTCCCTCAGCAAAAAACAAGAAAGCTCTACGGTCTTATATCTGGTCATAGCTTCAAGTGAGAGGCGCAGGGGGAGTGGCTACAGCACAGGGGACTTCACAGCTGTTAGCTGCTTATTACAAGCCACCCTGCAAATCGGATTAGCACGCCTGGGTGTGTGGGCTTGTGTGTGTGTTTTGAGACAGAGTCTGGCCGTGTATAGCAGTCTGGTCTTGAACTATGTAGTCTAGGCTGGTTTTGAACTCCAAACGATCCTCCTGCCTCAGTCTCTTGACTGCATCCTGGGCTGACAGGCCTGCCTCCCCCACGTCTGACTCATCATTCTCATTTCACGAAGGACAAAGGAGAGGTCCCAGGTCTAAGGCAAAGGTACCCACCCAAAAAGCACTGATGCTTGATTTAGGACCTGACTGCACCCTTCACAATTGCACCGCCCTTGGGAATTAGCGCGGAGTGGCCACTAGAGGGAGTCCGGACCTGGGTTCTGGGCGCCCGTCGGAACTGCAGGGCGGGGCGGCCTCGCAGGTGCTGGACGGGGAGGGGTGGGCGTGACGGGGGTATTGCGTGGCCAAGGCATGTCTGGCCTCTTAACACCGCAAATGAAGCGAGGACCCCCTGCGTCGTGGGCAGCCTTCCTCTTCCTTGCTGGACCTCCCCGTTGAGCGGGGACGCGCAGTGCGCTGCGAGTCTGGCTTATGGTCAGGGCAGGCGAGGACGGCTGCGTTCATGGGCGAGCCGGTGACCGCTAGGGGGCGCTGTAGCAGCGCGCAATCGGGGGCGGGACTCCAGATGCGCTGGGTACAACGATTGGCTCCGGGTGCCGCGCTGGGCTCGAGGGACCCAATCGGAGGCCGCCCCGCCCTTCGCGCAGGTACGTGCGGAGGGCGAACCCGCCCGCGCCCCGTCTCAGGCTGGGCCGGCGATCTGCGCTTCTAGTCCCCGCCGTTTGTCCACGCTGGTGCGGCTCGCGGGCCCGGGGAGCCCTCACTGCGCCTGTCCCCACGGACTGGGGCCACTTAGTCCCCTACTACCCGAATATACACTTGGCCCGGAAATGTCTTCCGCCTCACGCATACACCTTCAGCCAAACTTCCTTTCTAGTCACGCTAGTGGCAACGCCTGTCATCCTAGGACTCAGAAGGCTGAGGCAGGAGGGTCGCCAGGGGTCCGAGGCCAGCCTGGGCTGCTTAAGATCCTGTCTCAAAATATGTCCTAAAAAAACTTTCCTTCCAGCATTCTCAGCAGACTCCCCGGCTCTCTCCCCAACAAGCCCAAGTTAAGTGCCAGTTGTCTCCGCATGTCACCCTCAGGCCCAAGCCCCTACACCCCTAAGTCGGGCTGCGTTCCCTCCCCTTCAGCCCGAGCATCATTCTTGGTAACCCTCACTTAGCTCCATCCAGAAGAGCGTCACCCCAAGACGTCCCTCAAGATTTCATCGCCAACCTCGGGGGCCCCCTTCATCCACAGGAAAACAAGTCTGGCTTTTCCCACCTTCCTCAGTGCAGAAGTGGGGAGCAGGTGAGGTGCAGACCCAGGACGCCAGGACGCAAAGGCTGAAAGTGTAGCCAGGCTGGGAAGCTCAGCAGTAAGCACTGGCCCAAGCACGCTCAAGGCCCAGAGTTCCACCACCAGCGTGGCAAAGGGAAAAAGACGCTGAAACTGTAAGGACGGGGACAGGATAGAATCAGACCATCAGAGCTCCAGGGGTGAAGCTGGGACATTTATTTTACTGTGCAGCAGGTAATACAAACGCTGCCCGCTCTCTACCCTAAGCCCATCTGCCCCTCCCTGGGTGACACCAGCCCAGCCCTGATGACCTGGGCATTTCACTTGACCTTCCCAGTCCCACTCCTAAAGAGCCCCCCTCCCGTCTGACTGGGGGACAGCAGCACCGAGGAGAGCAGGACAGGCTGACCCCGGCCCCAGGACGAGGGAGGCCTGCTCCTGTCTTTTCCGGGCCCGTATGGGCTTGTTCCTTGCCCCGTGTGCCGTTACGAATCCAAAGGGCCCAGGGAGAGGAGACCAGGCACACTCGGCCAAGTCAGGCCAGCTGGTTCCGGAAGCTGGGAGTTGGCATTTAACGGTCAGGGGGCCTAAGGCAGCTTCCTCTTGGGTAACTGGCGGCTGGGAAGGTGCAGCCTCCCTGCCAGGCTTAGGAGAGGAAGGGCTGAGCTGGGTGTGGTGGCACACGCCTTTCATCCCAGAACTCAGGAAGCTGAGACAGGAGGATTGTCTGGGCTACACAGTGAGTTCAAGGCCAGTCTGGACTACATAAGGAGACCCTCTCTCACAACACAAGGGAGGGGCTGAGGTGGCTTCCCTTCTTAAGGAAGGTGCACCCGCCCACCCACGTGTCTGTCTGCCCTGGAACTGCAGCAGAGCCTGCACGAGGTGTGGCCGTGTCAGGGTCACAGGGGCCCTAACGCAGACGGGGAGATGGCCTGCAGCGGATACCTCGACCCGGGCCGGGCACCGGCTCGCCCCCGCCCGCTCCTTCAGACATATCCGGGTCTGTCTGGTCTTCCCGGCAGCGGGATGGCCAGGCCGCTGGCTCCAGGGGGCTTGACTCCTGTTCCTGCTGAACTGAGCCAGTCTGCACAAATCCACTGTGTTTCAGCTCAGTAGGCACAGGAGGCAGAGCCCGGGGAAGCCGCAGCAGGCAGAGAGGTGGGGCGGTGGAGGCGGGGCCTGGGGGACGGAACTTAGCCACTGTGAACACGACTTGGTGTGGACCCTGCTCACAAGCGGCTAAGCCCTGCTCCTCAGGCCTGACGTGGCAGCGGTGGTGGTGGCGGCGGAGGCGGCGGCCCTCTCTGCCACCTCATCCCCAGGTGCAGTTGGGCATCCTCGGTGGCAGCAGTGGCTTGGAGACAGAGCTCAGGGTCGGTTGGAAATCCCTGGCAATGTGATTTGTGACAGACAGCAAATCCCATCCCCAGGAACCCCAGCTGGCCGTGGCACGGGGGTGGGGGGCCCTGGGCGGGGCCAGAGGCTGGCACCTGGAGGGGAGAAAGCAAAGGAGGTGATGTGATTTGGAGACACCACCCTCTGGGGTCCCCACCGGTGTCGCCCTGAACTCCTGGCCAGCAGCAGCAACGTTGGTCCCAGCCCAAGGTGCAGACAGATGCCCTCCGCACCCTTCCAGGCCAGGCGGCTGCGGGAGTTCCAGGGCCAGCTCCAGCCCAGGCGCCACTCCTCCAGTCTCCCACCCCAAGCCCAGGCGGCCAAATGGGGCCACGCAAGGAGAGAGGAAGCCGAGGGGGGGCGGGCAGGCGGGTGAGGAAGTGATCTCACCCCAGCTGGCGCCACTTCCTAGAAGCCCGAAGGGCAGGAGGAAACCACGGGGCCTCCCCCCCATGGCCCTGTCTCCTCAGTGGCCAGGCCCCGGCCTGCACTCCTGCAGGGTGGGTGCAGGCACCAAGCACCCCGATCTGCCCCGACATCCCGTTCCACTCAGCACAGGACCCAGTTTGGCAGACGCTGGCCTCCTCACCCAAACACCCGGCCTGAGTTCAAGACCCAAACGCGGCTTCCCAGGTGCCCGGGAGGCCTGTGCTTCCCCGTCTATAACACCAGGGTAAGAAGTGCCACAGAGCAGTCCAGGGAGCTTGCACCAAGAAGAAGTCTGTCATCAGCCAGCGCCCAGCGCTAGGCGTGGGCCACTGAATCTGTGAGGCCCAGGGAAGAACAAAAATGAGCAAATTAAGAATTTTTTCCTTTTTGAGACAGGGGTTTGGGCTCACTCTATTTCCCAGGCTGGCTTTGAACTCTGCAGCGATCCTCCTGCCTCAGCCTCCCTAATGCTGGGATTATATAGGTGTGCACCACCACTCCTGGCTGTAAATTAAGAATTTCCAGGGGCCGGGGTGCGGCCCAACCCTAAAGCATGCGCTTAGCATGTGCGAGGTTCCTGGGTTCCATCCTCAGCATCACCATCACCAAAAAATAAAACGTAAGAGGATTTCACAACCTTGCAATGAAACATTAAATCAAGATCAGTTCGTTCCAAGGAGGAGTTTGCCAAGGCCACCCTTGCCATGATCCATGGCTGGAAAAGCCCAGTTTTAGAACCAGTCAGATGAATCTGAAACCCACCCCCAGATCCCTGGCTGGGCGGCTCTGGGCAAGTTGCTCCAGCCCTCTGTCCCCCGCAGAAGAGTGATACCAGTTATCTACTGTGTAAGTGGCTGTCCGTGAGGATCCTGGGAGTAATGTGCGTCATCGGGACACTGTGGCGCTGTCACTGCTGTCGCACGGCACAAAGAGGCCAGAAAACGACAAGGATCCCGGTGCTAATGTCCAGATCGCGGGTCCCCGGCCCCTGGGAAGTGGGCAGTGAGAGATGTCCCGTGCCCCCCATACCCACACTCGGCCCACAGTCTCTCCCACACCCACGGGGCCCCCGCCCTGTCCCCTCAGGATCTGGGGGTGTCAACTGGGAGCAGCTCCGGCCCCACAGGGCAGCCAGCCACCCCAAGCCGCCTCCGGAAGTGAGACAGCATATTCGTGTCCCAGGGACGAGAACGGGAAGGGCGGCCATTTGGCCAGGCCTGTTTCCTGTGGGGTTTCCCCTGCACAGAGCCCAGGGCTGCGCCAAGGCCACTCCCCACCCCACAAAAGGTCTGGTCCTGCACGGAGGGGCACCAGGTGCCCCAGGACCGGACACCTTCACCAATCCCCGGCTCCCCCTCGGGGGTCCTGAGACCCAAGCTCGGGGCAGCTGCATGGATGGAGGAGAGGGGCCCTTGTGCCAGGGCCAGAGTGCTGCCCCGGCTGGATGGGGACGCCAGTGTGCACAGGAACGCAGACAGCGGCTACGCACCAGACACACACAGGCCCCCGGGCCCCAGGAATGCAGCAGGGACAGCTTCCGCTGGGACTCCGCCGCCGCAGCCCACAAGCCTGATCCCCAAATACTTTCCACCCTCACAGAGCAGCTGGGATCGGAAAATACCAAGGACTGCTGGCCCCGCCCTGCCCGCCGCCGCCCAGCCTGTCACTAGCGCTTTGCCTAATGGGCCAGACTCTTAACAGAAGCTCCGTGGGCCGGCCAGAGCCGGCGGCCAGCAGGGGCTTCCCGGCCCAGCGCCGCCTGACCACTGATCCCCCACCCTCCACCAGAGCCCTCCCCCCGGCGGGGACGACGACAACTGCCCCCAGAGGTTGGGCAGTCCCAGGGGTAGGCACCCTGGCCAGGGGGTGGGGGGCGGGGCTGTAGCCCACCCATGGCGGGCGCTGGGGGCAGGCCTGGGATGGGAAGCGCATTGAGTCATCGCCTACAAACAAGGGAGATGAAAGGTGCGGCCCCTCCACACCGGAGCCACTCACAGAGCCCCCAGGGGCACCCCGCTGTCCACCCAGGAGGCCCTTCCCTGCGGGTACACCCCACCAGCCTGCGCCCACTTCTGCTGCCCCGCAAGCCTTGGCCTGGAGTTTATCAGCCTATAAGTGGCTTCTTTTTCTTTTTCTTTTTCTTTTTCTTTTTGAAGGATTGGGGGGTTGAACCCAGGGCCTTCGCACTGCGCTTCACCTCCAGACCGCTTTGATTTTTTTGAGCCGAGTCTCACTCAGTTGCCCAGGCTGACCTCCAACTTGTGATCCTTTTGTCCCAGCCTCCCAGGGAGCATCACCATGTCCAGCTGTCACTGGTTTCTGATGGCCTCGGTCCCCTGTTCAGGACAGCCCAGCAATTCACAGACCCATGGCTGGGGGTCCCTGGGCTCCCCACCACACTTTTGGGGTGTCAGTGCCCGGTCCCGGGTGGAGGGGCTTAGCATCTCAAAAGCCGCTTTGCTGCCCCTCACCACCGTGTGCCACATCCCGGACCACCCAGCCCCAGGCCACGGTGCAGTGACCACACCCAGGGTGGCGCCAGCCCCAGCACCCCGGGGCAAGGCGCCACTGGAGTATGACTCAGCCGTGCCCAGCATGGCGCATCCTGCTCTACCCAAGAATCCCCACACACCCACACCCATGACTGTCACACACATCCCTAGTGACTGGCCCTGAAGACTGGGCCTCTCCCAGACACACAATGGGGTGCACCCAGGACACCAGGCAGCAGGCGAGAAAGGGATTAGAGTACCCCCAAAGCAGCGTGGAGCCCAGGGCCTAGGCAGGAGAGGCGCAGGGCACATGGCTCTCCTCTCACACCCGAACGTTCCCAGTTCCAGATACTGGAAAAGGAGGCCAGGGTGATTCCCAGCCAGACCTGAGGACCACAGCAGGTCACACACAGCCAGCCGGCTCCTGGTGCAAAGAGTACCCAAAGTACAGCCAGGAGTAGTACCACACACTTGTAATTCCAGCACTCGGGAGGCTGAGGCAGGAGGATTGCCGCAACTTTGAGGCCATCCCTGGCTACATAGTGAGTTCAAGGCCAGCATAGAATACATGTGAAACCTGTCTCAACTTCCACCCCCTAAAAATAAAATACAAATGACAAAGTCCCAAAGAGAGGGTTGGAGGAAGTTTTCCTAAGACTACCCAGGGTTCCCAAAAGTGTCACTCACTGTGGAGAGAGCCCCCATCCAAGGTGCAGGGCAGACCCTTGAAAAACTTCTGAGGTTGGGCGTGGTGGCGCATGCCTGTAATCCCAACACTAGGGAGGCTGAGGCAGGAGGATTGTTGCAAGTTTGAGACCAGCCTGGGCTACAAAGTGAGCTCAAGGCCGGCCTGAACTGCATAGCAAGACCCTGTCTCAAAAAGACCTCCCCCCACCAAAAAAAGAAAAGTTCCTAAAGATGGATAAGCCCCACATGGATGGCTGACAGCAGGCAGGTGGCCCCACGGTCTGCACAGGCCCTGTCACCCCAGGAATGCAGATGCACAGCGCCTGTCCCACAGCTGCAGCCCACACACAACATGTGGGCTCCACCTGCAATCGGACAGGGTGTGGGCATGGATGAGGGGTCCCTACAAGAACCCTGAGCGTGTATCTCTGCCCTCTCCCCGGCAAGAAGGAATCTTCAGAGATGCAGAGGCTGGGCCAGCACAGACAGGCCCGACCCCCGGACACGCCCTGTCACGCATGGACTCTGCGTGCCAGCCCTAGGCCCAGCCAGCAGCTATTTTAGGTCCCCTCCAGGCCCATGGGCAAGGCCTGCTGCCCGCTGGGGTCTTGAGGGAGCTCCCAGAGGGCACCCTGCAAGCGCAGGAGGCAGTCAGGCCCCTCCTGGAAGCCAGGGCAAGCTCGCACCAGGCCCCGGGGCGCGTGCCTTCCCAGGACGCCGGTACAGGAACACATGTGCCCAGGCTGGCCCGGCAGGGCGTGTGGGCGAGCGGACAGGGTGTGTCCCACATCACCTCGCCCCTGAGCCGGGCACCTGTTGGGCACTGCCTTCCAGCTCGGGCTGGCACAGACAAGACTGCAAAGAACAGGAGACCACCCTGTCACCAGCGGGCAGCTGGCTAGGGCCAGGAAGGGGACGAGGACAGCCAGCCAAGGGCACCTCCCAGGCGTTCAGGAGGCCCTGGGCCTGGTCCCCAACCCAGCCCGGCAGCAAGGTCAGGGCTGGGGCTGGGGGGCACCAAAGCAAAGCTGGAACCAGGGGCCCCTCTGAGGCAGGCATAGAGAAGCCGAGCTTCAGCCAGGGCGCCTCACCTTCCTCCTGCAGTGTAAGGGGATGGGGTCCCCAGAGCAAACAGGGCTGGGGAGTCAGCCCTCTAGGGGACCCCCAAACCTGGCCCGTTCCTACCAGCATTGCACCAGCCACTCCTCAAAGGGGACAGGCGTATCCAGGAGACAGAGACACCCCAAGCCCCAGCTGCACCAGGGCCCACCAGACCCTCCCCACAGGAAACGGTTCCTCCATTCACCCCAACTTGTCAAGAACTTGAAAATGACACCACTTCCCTCTCATCCAGAAAACTCGGGGAGTCCCTTCCTCATGCTTTCCGCCCAAAGCCCAGGTAGGGGCCCCGTGGAGCCCCTGCGCACACCCTGCCCCGCAAGCCCAAGCCCAACTCCAAAGCAACAGGGACCCTACCTCCCTGCCTTCCCAGCAAGTCCCCAGGGTCTCTTGGGGCGGGCCTGGGGGGTTCATATCGGGCCGCCCTTCCCCCATCCGCAGGGATCGCCCCAGGACTCCGTCGCCGTCACCCCAAAGGCCCCTTCCTGGCTTCCCCCCAAGTTCCCGCCGCGCCGCTCCCGTTGGCAAGAGTTGGGGACCCCCCCCAGGCGCACCCCCATTCGGCCCGTGAGGCCGGCTCGGAAAAGTTGCCGCCGCTTCCGCACGCATCCCACCGGGTCCCCCTGGCCCCTTCGGGTCCGCGCCCGACTTACCAGGGAGGGGGAGCTGGCCAGACCCCGAAACGCACGCGGCTCGCGCCCCACTGCTGCCGGCCGCAGGGCCCCGTGCTTTAAAACCTCGCGGCGCTGGGGGGCGGGGCGGGGCGGGGCGTCACCGGGTGCACACCCACCCACCCCACCCCCGTCCCCCAGTTCGGCCTGCACCCCCAGTTTAGGCCCAACTTCGTCCTCCTCGTCCCGACCCAGGTCCGCGATCCGCGTGGGCCTGGCGTCCCGGGCTCCTCCACCCACGCCGCGCGGCTTCGGGAAGTCCCTCCTCTTATCCCGCCCAGCCCTTGCCTGCTCTCCTGGAGGAGCCCTTGCCTCCCGGCCGGGGGTCCCTGAGCCCAAGGGCTCTGCCCTCTCCAGGCTTCCTACCACTCACCCACCCAGGAGTTCCGGGGAGCTCCCCAGCGCCCGGCACCCCTGGGGAGCGCAGCCCAGGGTCCTTCGCTCCTTCCCTGCGCGCCTGCCTCTGCCTCCTCATCCTCCAGCCTCCCCTCCACGAGGAACACGGAGCCATTGTTCCCGGGACGAGGCCCTGCCTCGGGGCCTGGCCCTGAGCCCAGGTGGGGGGCCGGGAACAGGACTCCACACAGCCGCGGCAGGCAGGCGGGGTGCCCTCTGCGCCGGCAGCTCCTTGGGCCCACATGGCTGCCTCTCCGTCCTCCTGGAGAGAGAAGGAGGCTGGCCCCGGGGCCACCGGCCCAGTCACCATTGTCCCGCTGAGGACCTTCAGAGCCCTGCCCAGAGCTAGGTGGTCACAAGGGGAAGAGGGTTCCCAGCCCACCCCCCGAATTTCTCAAATGCTGCCCTGGGCACCCACCTCCAGCAACCCGGGCTCCCCCTTTCCCAAAGATGCTGGGGAGGGGGTGGCCCAGCAGCAAGCCCGGGCAGGGGACCTGGACTGGAGGGACGGGTTGGACACCTGTGTCACCTCACTTCCCAGAATTCCTCCAGTGTGCCCCTTTTGTCCCTCCTAAGTGGGGTCTCAGCAAAAGCCACACCCAGCTGCTACTGTGGGGCCCAGGCCTGGGGCTCCCCAGCTTTCTTCTCATGCAGTCGGAGAGGGAGGCTGGGGCTGGCCCGGCTGCAGGATTCAGCAGGTCGGGGCAGAGCCTCCTGCCGCCCTTGGGGCCCCTGGGAGGAGGATTTGGGGTGGCACAGAATTCCCCAGCTCAGGGCAGGGCCGGAAGGTGGGAACGTGGCCTCCTGAGGGTGGAGTTTCCAGGGCGGGTCTGGGGTCCTCCTGAGGACCTCCACAGGAATACACACATGCACCCCAGAAGTAGAAAGTGTGTGTGTGTGTGTGTGTGTGTGTGTGTGTGTGAGAGAGAGAGAGAGAGAGAGAGAGAGAGAGAGAGAGAAAGAGACAGTCTCACTGTGTAACTCAGGCTGGCCTTTAACTTAATATGTAGCCCAGGCTGGCCTCGAACTTGAAGCAATCCTTCTGCTTCAGCCTCCTGAGTGCGGAGATAACAGGTGTGCACCACTGTCCCTGGCTGAAAGTGGCCCAGTTATAGTGACGTATACCCTGCAGGAGCCTGCCCATGCAGGAGCTGCCGGGCACCAGCTTGTGGGGACTCCCAGAGCACCCAGCCTTCTCTCTAGGGCACCCACATTTGTCCCCACAAGGCCCCAGGCTGCAGCTCCCCAAGGACCACAGCCACCCAGATCAGAGCTTGCCAAAGTAGCCTATTGATTTTTGTGTCCTGTCAGAAAAGGGGGAGGGGATGGGGCAAGGGGAGGCCAGATCAAGTGGCACAGGCCACGCACATGCACACTTTGTTGATTCTCCTGACTGATGTCCACTGAGTACCTGTTGTGTGCTATGTGTGGTTCCAGGCATTGCAGACACACGGGGGACAAGACAGAAAGAAACCCCTGAGGCTCACATCTGCAGGAGCAGGGGATGCACATGGTCAGCAGGTACATGTGTATAAAATACATAGTGTGTTGGGAGCTAAGGGTGGAGGTGGGAGGGATGGGGATGGGGTTGGGTGAAACAAATGCAGCCAAGGGAATAGCAAGTATCCAGCAGGTGCCCAGAACAGCCAGTGCAAAGGCCCTGGGGCATACTGTACACTATTTGAGAAACTGCAGAGTTCAGTTTGATGGGGGTCAGAAGAGGGGTATGGAATGGAGGACAGCTGAAGTTTCTACTCTTGCTACCCCAACTTTCTAGCCAGATGTCTCTGGCCAAGTGCTTATACGTCTGTGAGCATCAGATTCTATCTGTGACACAGCTCGGTTGGTTGCCTGTGGACGCAAGGCTCCAAGATGCACTTTGGAGGCGGGTCAGGGACACACACCAGGCCAACCAGGTGCATGGGGGACCAGGTAAGTGATCCTGCCAAGACAGCGGTGCCACAGGTCACGCCGGCTCACACGCAGGGCGCCTGCCGGGTCCCATGGCAACGCTGCACACAGAGACATCAAACAGGCCTGCCGAGGAAGTCCCACGTCACTGTGGTCAGGGTGGCCCCGCCCCGCCCAGCCCCTGGCTGGCGGCTGGCGCTGTCCCAGGCAGGGCCCCTGGCTCCCGTCGCCCTGACGACTGGCTGTGTTGTGGGCTGTACATGATCCCCAAGTCCCTACCCTGCGCCAGGCACTGCTACTGCCCACATCCGGGGAAGGACACGGTGGTGGCCTCAGCTACTGCCGCTAACCTTTCTATCCAACTGCCACAGACTGGTGTCCCAAGCCCTGTTAAAGACTTTGCTTCCTACCTAGGGTTCGGAGGGCTAGAAAGGACACAGGCATCTGGGGGGACCCCAGCCAGGCACCTCACATCTCTCCCCCAAGGACTGGCCCCAGCATCACCAGGGCCACGGAAACAGCCCCCAGGCCTGGCCCAGCCCCCACCCTGAGCCTGACTCACCCAGCGCCAGTGACATCAAGGCCTGGCTGGCCACCCTGACCTGGCACCTCGCCAGAGCTGGGACAGCCCCCCCCCCACCAAAGTGTCCCATGGGCCTGCACTCTGCAGCTCGGGCCCGGCATGTAGAGGGTTAAGAAGGATCCCTTCTGGGGGTCTCCCCTCTTCATCCTACCCACCCTCTTTCCCGGGGATTTCGGGCCTCAGCCCCTCTGACGTCACTGGGGGTTGCTATGGCAACCGACCGAAGTTCCCAAATAAAATTACCGCGGGCGGGTTAAGTTTCCTAGGACGCAGCCGCCGGGTAAACAATGGCGGTGCAGGCGGGGCGGCCTGGCCGTCTGCGTCCTTCAACCCCAACTTTGCGAGGGCCCGGAGTCCCCCAGGCTCACCTTTTCCGCCCAGGACCCGAGAGCCCCGGAACCCCGAGGGTGCGGACACACAAACGGGGATAGAGAGGCCACCCTGAGCCGGGGAGTGGGCGCGGGGTCCCCGCAAGGAGCAAAGGGGGACGCCAGCGCCCGGCCGATCGCCCCGCCCCCCGGCCCAGCTGTGGCGGCTCCCAGCTACCCGGCTCCCACATCTGGCAGCCGCGCACTTCCTGTCGCCCGGCGGCCTGGAGCGGTGTAAAAATAACCCGCCTCCCCCCCCTCAACCCGCGGGCGTAGACGCGGAGCCTCGGCCCGGCAGGGCCAGGGGAGAGAGAAAGCGTGCTCGGAGGCGGCCATGGCCTCGGGAGAGGCCTTACCAGAGCCACCAGGAGCGGAGGGGACAACACCACAGTCTGCACTGCACCTCGGGGAACAGGGGCTGCGGCTCTTGATTGCTGGCAGGCCGGGTTTAAATGCATTTACCATTTAGACAAGTTCCAAAACAAAAAGCCTCCTGGCTTCAGTTTACCTATCTGTGAAATGGGAACGGTAAGTAGTACCCACTTCAAGGCCCATCTGCTCAGTCTAGGTTGTGCCTGAGTGGTGAGCGCTTGCTTAGGTGGTGCAAGGCCCTGCCCCCCACACACACACCAGCACCGCCAAAAACAGAAAAACTGCGCTTGTTCCATCTTTACCGTTTCTCTCTCCCAGGGAACCCCTGAGAATCCTTCCAAGTACAGTTACCACATACAACACACAGAACCACGACAGGCACGGTGCCTCACACCTGTAATCCCAGCACTCAGGGGGCTGAGGCAGGAGGGTCACCTTGAGTCTGATGCCCGCCTGGGCTACATGGGGAGCTCCTGTTTCAAAAAACCAAAGACAGCCGGCCATGGTGGTGCACGCCTGTAATCCCAGCACTTGGGAGGCTGAGGCAGGAGGATCGCTGCGAGTTTGAGACGGGCCTGGGCTACAAAGTGAGCTCAAGGCCAGCCTGAACTGCGTAGGGAGACCCTGTCTCAAAAAGACAAAAAAAAAAAAAAAAAAAAAAGACAAACCAAAACACACACACACACAGAACCAGTTCCACTGTATTTCAGATACACAACAGATCTTTTTTAAAGTATAAGTGTCTCTCATGCAATATTTGGAACACAAGAGATAATAAAAAACAAGAGATAATTAAAAAATTCTTTTATTTGTTCTGCATCTGAAATTTAAATTTATCTGGATGGCCTTTTTGTTGTTATTGTGAAATCTGCCAACCATATCCCCACACCTTATCGTCTCTGCTCTGCATACACGGCAGCAGCCAGGCTGCCTGAGTCCTGCTTTGGCCCTTCTGCCCACCCATAGTCTCCACAGTGGTCTCCTGATCCCCTCCCACAGCCTCCCTGGTCCCCACCTGCCTCTGTTTCTTTCTTTTTTTTTTTTTTTCTTTTTTTGGTCTTTTTTAGACAGGGTCTCGCTGTGCAGTTCAGGCTGGCCTTGATCTCACTTTGTAGCTCAGGCTGCTCTCGAACTTGCAAGGATCCTCCTGCCTCAGCCTCCCAAGTGCTGGGATTACAGGTGTGCGGCACCATGCCCAGCTACTGCTTCTGTTTCTCTGGGTTGTTTTTTTTTTTTCCCAGTACCAGGAATCGAACTTACAGCCTTGAGCTTGCCAGGCAGGCGCTATGCAGCTGAACTAAATCCCCAGTCCTCTGCTTCTGTTTCTTTATTCCACCCTTTGCCACTCAAACTCCTGACCATCCTCCCAAAATCCTTTTTCTTTTTTTCAGATTTTTTTTTCTGGTACCAGGATTCACTCCTTTTTTCTTTTTTCTTTTTTCTTTTTTTTTGGGTCTATTTGAGACAGGGTCTAGGTTTGCATTTCAGGCACACCTTGAGCTCCCTTTGTAGCCCAGGCGGGCCTGGAACTCCCAATGATCTTCCTGCCTCAGCCTCTCAAGTGCTGGGATTACAGGCATGCGCCACCACGCCGGACCATCCCCTGCCTTTTTAAATTTTTTTTTTTTTTTTTGTACTGGGAATCAAACTGAAGACCTTGTGTGCCCCTGAGCTATATCCCCGGCTCTCAATTTTATTTTTTTTAATTTTTTTTTTATTTTTCATTTTTTAGAGAGCATCTCACTAAGTCACTAAATTTCCCAGGCTGGGCTCCTGAACTTGAGGTCCTCCTGTTTCAGCCTTCCAAAATGCTGGGATTATAGCCACAGCTCCCTGCACCTGACTCTGAGCATTCTCCAGGAACCCTCCCGTGCCTCCCCACCGTGCCCTCTGCCTTTGACTCTTCAGGAACCCGGTACATCTCTTACCTCCTGCGTTTGAGTGATTGATTCCATCGTTTGACTAAGTTGCACTTTTTGCGGTGCTGCTGGGGATGGAAGTTCAGTCCTCCAGCAGGGTAAGTATGTGCTTTATCTGCGCGGAACCTCGGCACCTGAACGTTTTTCTTTTTTCCTC